ACTAACAACCTCGACCAAATTATTTTTGACAAAAACAAACGATGTTTTATTGATTAATAAAAAAATAATTTACTGGTTCGAGATTTTGAAAAAGAATATTGGATTATTAATGTTCATTTTACTTACAAGTGAATTTGTGAGGTCAAGTGAAAAAAGTAAAAAAAAAAAAACAATATTTACCACTTACCAGCTATCATTCATATCCATTTCCAACGTTCAAACGCCGTGAATTATGGCAGCATAGATGATACAATCATGCACGAGTTGTTTAAAAGCTGTGGTTAGGTTTTGAAACAAAAGTTCTCATGCAATTATTACATTTTCATTTTGATTTCAGACTCTTTTTCAGAGGCAGGTGTTTTTTTTTTCTCCCTTTCTATGGATATGTTTTTATTGTCTACAATATGATAATATAAGAAAATTAATTTAAAACTCATTTGATGAAATCTAAAAATATTCTAAATGAGTTGAATCAACCCATGAAATCATTTAATTAGAAACTCATAGGTTAATGAGTTGAGTTGGGTTGAGTTAACAATTTTAAGGTCTCAACCCCACTAAAATACATTTACTACTTGATTAAAATCATACTCCCTCCGTTTCGTTTTAGTTGTCGTTTAAGGTTTTTGCACACAAATTAAGAAAAGCACTAAATTTTCTGTTTTACCCTTTATTAATATATTTTATAAAAAAATTTCATTGGTCAAAACATTAAAACAGTAGGGATAAAACTGGAATTTTCACCGAACATTTGCTTTGAAAACCTAAAACGACAACTATTATGAAACAAAATTTAAATCCTAAAACGACAACTAAATTGAAACGGAGAGAGTATTGACTAAAATTTATAATTTCAATGGTTATCCTACTAATTTTACAAAAAAATATAACTCCTTAAATGTATTTCTTATCTTAATATAACTTACACCACTCATCATCCTATAAAAAAAACTTTCTTTCATTCTGCTCCACCAATATCATATATTTTTAATATATGCATAATGATCTAACATGTATAATTGTCACTATATTTCTATTGTTTATAGAGTACTAGATAAAGACCCGTCCGATGGACGAGTTTATTTTTTTTAAAATTAAAATCAAATTTAACAAAAAATTAATTAACAATGTTGTAAGTAGAAATTTTTTTTCAAAAGTAAAAACAATATTTACTTTTTCACTGTTGCCTTATTTTGTTAACCACTAAAATTATTAATTCAAAATTATTTCGAATGAAAGATAAATCACATAACAATAATTCATGGTATACTTATATGGAGAACAAAAATTAAAAATATTCATCATAAAGTTGGTGAATAAAACTAAAGTAGTGTTTAATTAGTCACGTTAAAAATATAAAGATGATAAATCGACTAAATTCTTTAGCCTTCCAAGCTAACGTTGCGGGTTCGATTCCTATATATTCGATTGCAATAACTTTATGATTAATCAATAAAAATTAATAAATTCAGAAAATTATAGCACGATGATATATGAATCTTATATAATTCAAATATGAACATAAAAATTGAAATAAACAATTTTGAAATAGTATAATTAAAGTCAAAATATCATAAACAAAAAAGAAGCATATATGTTTCTCACATATTCAAGAATTTCAAATAAAACAATATAAAACTTTACTTAAAATCATCACATATTTCTAATTAGAAAATAATATTGATATAAATAATGTAAATTTGTAATATAAATCATGACACATATCGTTATCTAAAATCATTAGAACTATGATATATTATAAATCTTATATAATTTAAACTGAATGTAGAAACCAAAATAAATAATTTAAAGATACAACAGTTAAACTAAAAAAAAAAATTATAAACATGATGATATATGAATCTTTGATAATTTAAATATGAAAAGAAAAATTGAAATAAATAATCTAACTATACTACAATCATAATTGAGGACAAACAAAAAAAAACAGTTGAGTAAAAAAATATTACAAAAACGAAAAAAAAAATTTGATCTCACATATTTCTAATTGAAAAATAAACTCAAATAAATAATATGAGGATTAGTTTAATTAAATCATCACATATTTCTAATTGGAAAAGAAATTGTGATAAATAATATCAAATTTTAAATTAATATAATAACATATGTTTCCTTTTTAATAAATTTGCATGATTTTTTTCTTGTTTAATTGAAATATAAAAAAACATATAATTTCTTTATTATTATTTGACATTTTTTATAGAAATATTAATTATTTACAATTATTCTTATAATTATCTTTTACATTTTTAAAATTATTTAAATTTGTAATTACTTTCAATTATCTTCTTTTTTATTTTAAAAAGGAAATTTTTGTTTTACACGTGTCAAAATCTAAGATCGATAGATTTGTCATGTCACGATCATATGAGTCATTAACTTTGTAAACCATACTTTATATAATAAGATAATTGTTTAAAACGGTTCGATAATCCTGATCATTAGTGAAACTCTTATCAAGATTAAATCACTAAAATAAAGTTTATCAATATAACATGAATTGCGTGGAATAATGAAAAGATGGAATATAGCTTAAAATTGTTCTCCAAATAGTTTACATATATATATATATATATATATATATATAGTTTTTCACTTAAATATTACTTAGATTTTAATTATTGAAAAGAAAACGTGGTTTACATGAACAAACAAACAAAATTTTTTAAAACCATATTAATAAATATGTATATGAAAATATATAATCTATTGTTATTTGTAATTATATTTTTGACATTTTCCAAAGTACATAATATATATTTAGCAAAACAATAAAAAAATATGTCATTTTGCTTATTTATAGAAAAAGATTAGTTAAACCCTTAATAATTTATATTGGTATCCTAATGATCACAGTTAAAGTATCCTTACACCTTTTTTTTTTGCATGCTTTATTAGCAGACCCAAAATCGCAGTCAAAATCATTGTTTCCAGAATGATTTGACATATATTGGGAAATCCGAGAAGTATGTCCATGGTAAATTTTCTCCAAAAAAAAGAAATTGATATGTAAAACAAATCTGATTTTCAGGATATTTAGAACTTGCATGTTTGATTTTTAAGATATTTAGAACTTACATCTCCTATTTAACCATACCCTCGTTTGAAAATCATAATATCACACGCAATGGAATGCCGCTATAATGCTTCAACAACTTCTTCAAATTTATCCAGTGTGATCGCTTCTATGATGTATCCTAGTAAGTTTGAAGATCTTTTTCACATGTTTGACAAAAAGGACGTGCATCTTTTCTTTCAATTCCCTTCTTGCTGATGAACTCCAATGCATCCTTCACAAGTAGAGGATAGCAAAAGTGGGTTTTTCTAGATAGACAACGTAATTCCGGTCTAGTGAAATCCACCAAGTATCGAGCTAAATACTCAACGTAAGTTGTGTCGTGCATCGAGATGTGTCTCACAGTGGTAACAAACTATGTAGATACAATTGCCCAACAACAATTTAAAGAAAAAAAATGTTAATGTATACTTTTATTTTATTTATATATAAGATGTAAGATTAATTGACCATGTATTGACATACTGTGGTCGCCTTGGTTTTTGACCGTAAATCGTCATTTATTAATGACATATGTACGTGATCCTAAGAACCGAAAAATAAACAGTAGTAAGAAAATGTTAAAAAATCTATAAAGAATATTTTATTTGATTAAATGTTACCTTGTGCAAACTGGATGTTATATTTGCAACCAATGATAGTTATGTCCGATTTAGGGACCGAACCAAAAATATATTGAAGTTGGCACAACTCCACATAGTCCAGAACTTCGTCAACGATGTCGAAATCAGCTGGCACACTTAATAGTTTATCACTATCATTAGTTTCTAAATGTGTCAATTCATATAACTAGTACAAACTTTGAACAAACACAATGTTTGTAATAGAAAATTTGGCAAGAATAACATAAAATAAAAATTAGTTAAAGGAGTAATCATGTAATTCATTTTGACTGTGATATAGTGTGTATAAATTTTAATATATACAAAAGTACCTTTGATGTACATCAAAAATTGATGAGAAGCACTTCACGTGTGATAGGACTGCATATAAACAAGTGACATATTAGAGATTAGATTGTTGAGTGAAATATGACCGTTACAAAAGAAGATGACATTACCGTGACTCACCTATTTTGTTCACAAAACATGAGATCAAGTTTGAAGGTTCATGAAAAATTTTGTACTACCGATTAAAATTTCATATATTTCATTAGGATTATTAGTTCTGCAGTTTCGGAAGATAATTCCATAATTATTTTGCCTACTTACTTCTAGCATAAACTCTCCCTTGAATAGGTAAAAAAAAGGTAAAGTATTTTTTTTGGCATTTTCCAAAGTACATAACTTATGATGCTTAGCAAAATAATCAAGAATATGCCATTTTGCTTATCTATAGAAAAAGATTAGTTAAATCCTTAATTATATTATTTCTTGGTATCCTAATGATCATGGTTAAAGTACCTTTATTTTCTCAACACTATCATTAATTTCTAAACGTATCATTATTTATAACTAGTATAAACTTTGAACAAACACAATGTTTTGTACCATAAAAATTGGCAAGAATGACAAAAAAAAAAATAGTTAAAGGAGTAATCATGTAATTCATTTGACTATGATATCTGGTCCCTAGAGACATCTCCAAAGGTGAAGCTGCGAAAAATTGCCACAAAAATGTCTCATTGAATCAACACTAACGAACGAATATGATTGGTTTAATGTTACTATTATTGGTGACAGCAACAGAAACAATAAATCAAATCTCTCTCTCATTGCTATTGTTCTTCGATTACGTGGGCCTAGTTATGGGCTTCTAATGAAAAACGGCTGAAGTTAGTAATAATATTGTCATTCTTTGCTTACAGAATTTATGTATCGGCTTTTAGGCCCAACATGTTTGAGCCCAAATAGTTCTCGGCGAGTCAAACTATTCAAACATTTGGCTTCTTTGTAAGAAGTGGCATTGATTCATCTGATCATCATTCGCTTAAAGGATAAGAAAGAAAAAAAAAAAAGAGCAGAGCAAATTCTAAGAACTATGATGAGAGAGGAGGAAGAAGAATGGCGATCAGTTCACGAGGTTTTATTGATTGTTCTTCCTTATCTTCATTCCTTGTTCGAGCTTCTCTCTATGACTCGCGTTTCTCGATCGCTCAGAGACGCCATCAGAGACGAAACCGCCTTGTGGACAAACTTCGTTATTGAACCACCGTTGAGCTCTCGTCTGACCGACGATATTCTATCGGAGATCACTTCGAAATCCGCCGGGAAGCTCAAGACTCTGATTCTCCGTCAATGTCTTAGGGTTACCGACAAAGGACTCCGTCGTGTGGTGGATGCGAATCCTCTCATCACTAAGGTAATTTTCATTTGATTGATGATGAAACCCTAGGATTAGATCTATCTGGAATTGAGAATCTGAAACGTTTTCTCTCAGATAATTGTGCCTGGATGCTCTGTATTGACTCCTAAAGGAATCATGGAATGTGTTGAAAGCTTGTCCAAGAACAATCATAAACTGGAGACACTTCACATCAATGGCGTCAATGGCTTTACCAAACAACATCTCTTAGCACTTTCGACTTACCTTTCTCCCGAGGGAACAATCGACGTCGAGGTCTGTCCCAAATGCGATCAAGTAATGATGATTCCGCCTTGCTCAAGAGAATCATGTGTAAGTAAAACTCTGAAGATAAAGATCATTGAGACTCTTAATACCGCTAATATCATGTTTTTTTTCTTGGTTGAAGAACCAGAAGCAAACGAATGAACGCAAGTGCCGGGGATGCTGGCTTTGTATCCCTAGATGTGCAGAGTGCTCAGTGTGCCTTGTTGCTCCAGATACTGAGAGTCAAGAAGCAGCGTGTGGTAATGACGACGTTCTGTGTCTTGAATGTTGGCTTGTGCTTCCCAAGTGCAGGTTCTGCAATAAACCCTATTGCACTATTCACAGCACTCGTCGACATGAGATTGCAATCTCTGATGCTGCGTCTCGGCCTTCGTTTGAATGCGAAGCTTGTTACTATAGGGCAGGTACAAACCCATATGAAGTCGACTATCAAATCTAAAAGAAAAACACTTGTTGTCTGCAACTTTTTCTATTTTGTATATGAATAGCTTGGATTGTTAAATATTCAGCCATACTCATGGATAGAAAAAAGAAAGAAAGAATCAAGCTTTCAACACAGGAATTAGTTACAATCATCGATGATCTTGAAGCCGAACCTACAGGCTACCCTCAATGAACTCCTTGTTAAAAGGAGATGATCAACAAAACTGGGTAGACAACTAGACACAGAGAGAACAAACCCACCGAGCTCTTTTGTCTCAAGTGTTGCAAAGAAAGAAGTTAAAATTTAGAGAAACAAGAATTGAGAGTTGTTGTTGTTCTTTTCAGAGTTTCTACAAGAATACTAAGGCAACGATCAGTAGAAGGGAGAGTAATGTTAAGTCACCGAAAGATGCGTGAGGATGATAGTACTTTGGGATGCATCCAGATGTTGTAGAGTTCGCTGAGGGGGCTAACGCCGTGGTGTTGTTTCCAAGTGTCTGATTGCTTTTTGCACTGCAAAACGTAGAGAAGTCGATACAAAAGAGGTGAGCTTATTTCGTTTGGATATTTAAACTTGAATCTTTTGTGAGCAGAAGAATAAGTATGTTACCTTCCAGGGAACACACATGTTCCTCGACCTGCAGAGACAATCAGAAGAACATAAACCCCATTTTCAGATACAGAGCGGTAGGTATTCTCTTTGGAAAGAGGTGAATGATAATGTTTGAGAGATTCACATACTTGGATCAGTGGTAGTGACTGTAGCAACTCCTTTGAAATCACAGCTTCCTGAAGCTTTTCCCATCTTCTGGTAATAAGCATTAAACGCATAAGTAGAATGTGCAACCACGTCGTCGGGTTCATAACATGACTCTCCCTGCATCAGTGCCGAGCAATCGACTTTCCCTGGACCGCAAGCCCAGTCAAGAGCTGCCTGAAGCATCTTTTTATCAACCTTTTCCTTCGCTATACAAAATGTCTGGTTTGTAGTATCATTTGCCAGAATCGCCCCTGCACCAGCCAAACGCAATGTGTAAACCGGAGTCCCGTTTGTATAAAACAGCCCCCAGTTCTTCTCAGATATCGGTCCTGGCCTCGTATCCTCATTATAAAGCTCGTAGATGTATGTAGTAACTGCAGTTCCCGGGTGTTTTGGCGTTCCAGTCTTGTTGATCACGTGCTGGATCAAATTGCTATTGTAAGTGTTTGCGTTCTCTACAGTTGCGTCGTGCTCAGACGGGCCTCCTTTAGATGGCCATCCGGATTCTGTGACCACGATTGGAATGTTGGTGAAGTTAAGATAGGACATTGCAAAATATGCAGCGTCGACAATTGCATCAAAAACATTTGTGTAATGTAACAATGTGTTGGCGTCTACAGCTTCTTTGTTGGCTTGGAGAGGTTGGAAAAGCGCATAGTCAAGTGGTATAACTCCATTGGACTGAACATAGTCGAAATACGGGTAAACGTTGAGCAGCAATGGCGATCCTGTGGACTGTAGGAATTTGAGGAGAGGGACAATAACTGGATCCCAAGTCTTGTTGAAGAAAGCTTGTGAAGGAGGGAAAGAATCAAGAATGATGGTTGAAGAGTGAGGGGTCGATACTTTGATCTGACGGTCAAGATTGGCGGTGATGAGAGCAGCTTGGATGTATTTGAGGGCTGAGACGAGGACAGACGCTGCGTTTGGTAGGCTGGTTAGGACTTCTGATCCGACCGCGATTGTGGTAATGTTGGTCGCAGGGTAATAAGCAGCTACATTTCTAGTGACCCAATTGGCTGCAGTTGCATTTGATTGGCTGATACCGAGAAGCTGGTCGTTAGGGACTGAGATTATAACTTGAACGCCGGTGTGAGCAAACGCGAGAAGCATTGAGCGGTCTGCGTCATAGAGGCGGACGCGGTTGATGTTCTGTGATTTGAGGAGTGCTACTACTTGTGTTGGACTTGGCATGTTTGTCACTTCAGTACCAATATTCACACCGATCAAAGAATCTGAAATAACATATTAAAAACGAAACAATTCACATGAAAATCCGTAAACTGGTCGATCCAATTCTCCACAATAAGCATTAGTAAAACCAAATTGCTAATGCAAAAGAGTCAAAAAGAGTTTCGTCATTGGCTGGTGCGAAAAAGCGAAAATGCGAAAATGCCCTTACACTGAAGTGTATGGATGCAACCAGCTCCAAGGACAGTTTGGTCCAGTTAGATTGCAGAGTACTACTGAGAAGCATATGAGCTGGGATGCAATATCTTGAGATTCTCATTCCCCATTAAAAAGAATGGGAACATTGGAATATTAATTTAAAAAACTAAGATTTTTCAATTAAAGTCTTCATCTTTCTTGGGGAAAAGTAAAACCCTTAATGACATGAGAACACCCAGAAAAAATCATCTAAAATGAATAAAACTTCCCTGAAATTATCAGATTGTTTTTGCATTAATAGAAAACAAAGAGAACTCATCTATGGTTGTGGAGGTTTTTTTTGGTTTTATGGTTATGGAGTTGTTAACAAAAGATTTGCAAAAATGAAGGAAGCACATAAACAACACATTTTCTAATTAGTGAGCACAAGAAAGAGATCCTTCAGTGAAAAAACACACAAAGAAACAGAGAAAACTTAAACCACTAAAGTAGAAGAAGATTCCACGAGTGAGAGTGAGAGAAGAAACATAGAAAAATCAACAGATTTATTAAGCAAGAAATGGGTTTCTTTAAGTTGATTTAAAGATTCAAGAGAAGAAATTTCAGAAATTATTACCTTGGGAGAGAGCAGAGCTTGCAAAGAGGAAAAGGAAAAGAAGAAGAAGGGCAGCCATTGATGGAGCTTCAAATCTTGGGGAGATGCTTTGATTTGCTTCTGAAGCATAAAGACAAGACAGGTCTCGAGGTTCTCTGAAGTAAACCACGAGAACAAAATCCTACCAAGACAAAAATAATATTTATAAAGAAATAGGTATAGAGAAAAAAAGAAAGTGAGAAATTAAGAACCAGTTCGCTTCAAAAGATTTTAATATATAACTTGAAGCCTAAAGGCTAAAGTTGGGTTTCTGAGTTTTTTTTTTCTGCTGAAAAAGATGTATCTTACCACTAAAAATATTAATAATTTATTTTTCGGTGGAAAAAATTGCTTTTATTTTCGTTTAAAACTAACCTTACTCACCTTTAAATAAATATGTTCTAGGATTCTTTTTTTGTTTCTTCAAATTTATGGTAAATAGATTTTTTGTTTGGTGTATTTTGTAGCCAATGTTTTAATTGTCCTGTGCAGTGGCAGTGAATCACAGTTGATTCAGTTCAACGGTCATCTATGCATTTTAAAAAATATCCTTGTTTCTTTTAATTTATGAGTCTGAACTATTTATATATCACACGAGTAATCATTTATTTCTGTTTTTTCTTTCTTTTTTTGTGCAACATCTATTTTCATTTGTTAACTATTTTGCTGTTTTTTTTCCTTTAAAGAATTTATATGAGAGATTCTTTAATCATTTACAGGCTAGAATTTTTTGGTCAGTCTTTTTGTTGCTTATCTTTTCTCTTTTTATTTTTTCTTGTTATTTTCTTCTTGCCATTTCGGGTCTAAATAAGGTTCGTATCTCTAAAATATTTACTTCAATACATCGTCAATGTTGATAGATAATAAAACAAGTAAAATACAACAATTAAAATAGGATATTGTTTTAGTCTTTCAAAGCTAAATGTTATGTCGAAAAGAAAATGAAGAACATTATATAAATTGTTTTTTTTTTTGGTCAGCAAAATCAATTATCTTTAATTTGTTTATTACTATGTGGGAAAACAATGATGTAAATAATTAAACAGCATTTGGGCTCATAAATGGATTGAAAGATATGTCTGCGTAGGCCCAACATTACTGATATAAACAAGTTCCATTTTCCGGGTCGGGTCATAAGATCCGAATTTGCAAAGGCACTCAAATTTCACTCTCTTTGTTCAATCTAAAACCCTAAGTCTTATTTCGATTAGCTTTCGCGATTAACCTGAGTTTGACATCGTTGAAAATTTGAAGACACTTAAATCTGCCAGAATGGGCAAACCAAGCAAAGGGTTTGGCTTCTCTTCTCTTGTTCGAACAATTATTCATCCGAAGCTCAGATTTTTTTTGTTTGTTTTGGAATGGTTTTGTGTTTGAGATTTGCTTTACCGATGCTAAGTCTGACATAATTTTCACTTTCAGATCGGAAGTGACGACGAAATCTGATAAGAAATTCGAGAAGAAGCTTCAATTTTACACAAGTAAGCTCGGATTGTCTCGAATTCGAAGTTTTTTCTCCTAAACAAAGAAATTGCAATGTGTCTGAAACTTTGTTTGTGAATGCAGAGGTCAAAGATACAGTTACTTCTTTGTCTGTCCAAAAGGAGATTGGCAAGGTAAACACTTCCTCTAGGATTATGTTTCCCATTAGTGAAAGTATCAATCTTTGTTAGAAATTATTAAGAATGTTGCAATACTGCAATTTGAGTCCATTGTTTAGTTCAGGCATTGTAGGAGTTTTTAAATGAGCTTACTTCTATTATGGAGTTGGTTGCTATTGTGAAAGCTTTGAACTTTTTATATATATGTATGATTTGCTAATGAGGGTAACTCTAATTACGGTTTGTTCAGAAGAAGAAAATTCGCAGCCGTCAAAAGAAGTTAAAGGCGTATGATCTCACCAACCTCTCGGAGTTTCTTCCTGAGTTTAATGCTTTGCAGAAGTCAGCTCTTCCTGCACCCGAGTTGAAGATGAACTGTAAAAGGAGACAAAAGCTCGTGTAAGTCTCCATTTCCTTTGTTGTTTAACATTCTTTGTTGTAATTTTCGTCTGAAAGGACTGTGTTGTGTGTTGTTTAGATTAACGGAAGGGGAAAGATTGAACAAGGTTCTAGACCATCCAGCTTTTCAAGCTGATCCAATTGGTTCGATATTTCAGCATTTGCAAAGTCAACAGCCACCGGAGGAAGAGAAGCCGAAGAAGAAGACTAACACAAATGGAAGCAAGAAAAGGAATAAGAAAAAAGGAATGGCTGAATCCATGGATTTCTGATCTTGTCCTATAGAGATAAATTTACTTATGTTTTGTTTTGTTGTTTTGTTATAGTAGTAACAAAAAACATGATTTTGGAAATGAAGAATCTTTAAATTTGATCCTTGTTATTGTGCAAATGACACAAATTTTTCATAAACCTATAAAATGTGCTCGAATCACCGACACAAATCATCTCATTAATCACACCATACACGAGAGAAACCTAAATTTGTAAAATTATTTTATGGTTTCAAGCTAAATCTTCTGTGGAACATAAATGATCACGAGAGTGGTTCACTGATCTCCAAGAGTTCATTGCGGAGTCCTGTAAAGACGAGAGAGTCTGTTTCTATCGGTCTGAACTTGATGAGCGCTGAAGGAACAAGCTCTTCGTCCTCTAAGGTTATCGGTTTCTGTCCCGGGGCTGGAGTATGTGGAATCACACGCCGTTTAACCAGTACAGGATCAAGAAGCTCAAACTGCAAACTTGGTTCTTTCAAAGCAGAGCTCACAAACTGAGAAGACAACAAAAAATCACAGAAATATCAAAAACTTTTGCCTTGATCAAGTAAAATCTAAAATGGTGTGTGCCATTTAAAGAGATTACAGATTTTAACCTCGTAGAGAGCAATGGTAGGTTCCCATGGAGCAAACACACCTTGAAGCACAACTCCGTCTGGAAACTGCACTCTTATCATACTTCTTTTGTATCTCTTTCTAGCTGCTTTTGCTTGTTTCTCCTTATAAGATCGAGGAATCAAAAGCTGTGATTCCGCAATCTTTTTCCTCCGTAAATCCGCTTCTCTCTTTATTTCATCCGCCGAGAGACTATAGAACGAATCAGGTACCTCTATTCTCGATGCTATGTTTTCAGAAACCGAGAAAAAGACATGAATCTGAACCAAGAAACAAAATAAAACCATTCTAAGAACAAGTCTCACCAAAAATGTGATCAAGAAAAGAACTATACCTCTCTATCTATCTTCTTTGGAGCCACAGGTTCCATAACCTGAACAGAAGATCCTGAATTCTCTGTCTTTCTCTTTTCTAGAAACCCGACAACTTTACTGATCAAATTCGATTGTTCTTCACCAGGAACATCCATAACAGCCCAAATCTCATCATTTTCCTCTTTCAATTCAAATCCAACTAACTCAAGAAGCTCAACACCTCCCGCAACATCACCAATGGCTTCTTTAATCTTAGCATTGCTCATTCTAACTTTTCTAAACTTAGCATTCTCAGGTTCTTTAACTATGTTCTTAAACAACCTAAGCAAAACATCAATGGAGCTCTCACTTGGCTTCCCAGAGAGATACACAACCACAAGTTTCTCGATTTCGGATTTATCATTATCCTTAGTATCATCCTTCTCAAATGAAGACTCGTCTCCATTAGTGTTCCCAAGACAGCTCTCGACATGAACAGAGACTTCTTCCTCTGACGTGAATGGATTTTTACAGATCGGACACTCAAACATATTCAGAGAATATCCGTTCTGAGATCTGTTCGAAGACGTTATCAAAGCACCGTACGGGTCAAACCCATCTTGTGGAGCACGAACCGGGTCAGGATCCGGGTTTCTCGTTGACCCACTAATCTTCTGATCGGAGGAGGATATGGGTTTCTCAGGCAACGGCGTCGAAGTCGGATTCGAATTGGGTCTGGGTCTAGGATTCGGATTGGGAGCTTGGGAAGAGTTAAACCGGTTATGAATCGGGTTAACGGGTCCAGGTGCAGAGGAAGAAGAAGATCCGAGAACCCTACCTTGGCCTTTGAATTTGCCGGAAGAAGAAGAGAGATTGACTTTCTTCATGAATCCCTTTAGCTTATCTTTAACGTCATCCATCTTCTTCTTCTCCCGTGTAATCTCAAGCTAAACAAAAAGCTACAAACTTTTTAAATTATAAATCTGTGTCTGAAAAATCAGAGGATGATCTTGTTTGTTCTTTGGTCGTCGAAGACTTTGTGTTTGTTCTGTTTTGCTTTGCTTCTCTTCGTAATTAAGCCGAATAAAAATTTGACCTTGCTGCGTCATAATTCTAATTAATGGGCCTTTTTGGGCCAAATCATTGTATTGATTATTAATCCAATGCACTTAGATATACCAACAAGTATGTTTCTTTGGGTCATCTCATATTGGCCCAAGTTAGTTGATAAAAAATTTAAAAAAAAAATTTTGGACGAAGTAAAGTTGATAAACAACAAAACCTTTGCACTACATATCTAATTTGATTTTATTTTTTGGATTTTTATATTTAAGAATAGTATTATCTAATAAAACCACACACAAAAAAAAAAGAAGGTTTTTCTGTTTGCAATAGAGAAAAACATAAGATACAAATGAAATTGTATCTAAAGCTTATCACTCTTTTTGGTTGATGATGATGGGAATGAACTCGTCCAACTTTTGGAAAATTTAGTTTTGTTCCTTACCTATCTGTTTAATATAAAACATCAACAAAAATCATAAAAATAATCTTTATTAAAATCGAGACTATACAGATGATAAAAAATTTACGCTAGGAAAGTCATTGTGTTAAAAAAAATGTACATGTCAGTACTTCAACCAAATATGCATTAAATTATCACATTTTTAAGACATTGGTCTTTTGGCATATGAGACACTCGTGGATATATGCTCAAAAACAAAGACGTCTCGTTTTGGATTATATGATTTAACATAGCCTCTTAGTGAGATTGTTTTTGCATTGTTGAATTCAGTCAGTGAAGTACTGTGACACCCTCTTTGTATGAGTTCCACAAGTAAGACATAGAAGTCTTGAATCCAAAAGCACCAACAAAGACGACAAAGGGTCCGACGGTTCTTGAAAAAGCCCTAGAAGCTGTGTGGTGATCATATTCCCGGGCTGATAAAAATATTGCCTCCTCCCCCATGGCACAACGCATCACACGACACTCACACCTCTTCGTCGCAGTCACCAAATTTATTAGCTTATCCACCTTGTACGAGGAATCATCCCAATTTTCAATCGACGCTCCGGTCGAAAAGAAGTAGCCTCAATGAAATAGGCATACAACGATTGGTTGCCAATTGTCTCGAACTGTTGTTGTACACTTTTATTTGATTCAGGTAGTAAAACCAGTTTTTCTAACACTGGGATAAATGATGACCATGTCTTAGGAAGTTCTTTAATATATGCATGTCCTATAATGACAGCATCTACAATCGTATGTATAATTTTATAGTAGACAATACTTTTTTCCTTAATATGTTTTTTTTTCTCTCTCCATGTTGAGTCTAATTATATTCTTTCATTTCTTGGTAATTTTTTTATTCCATGTTCAAAATTGAATTTTTTATTTCAATTTTTACAACATAGTTAAATAAGCCATGGCTACTTTAACATTGGATCGAAAACGCAGTGCCATATTTGCCACATAATTTTAGCAACCTTATTTGTTTTTTTTTTTAATAACGTAAAATATAAAGGAAACATAAAATCAAATGATGTAATGATCCACACACAAAAATGTTTTTTTTTGTTTGTGTAGCTGCATCTTTTTTGGCCTAGGATAATATCGAACGCATAAAAATGAAAAGAAATACAAAAAAAAAAAGTAAAACATTTCAAACAAATTTTAATCTACTTCAGAGCATAGGGCGAATAATTGATGATAGAGACTGTGTCACGTAAGCTGATTGTTCCACCATTTATGCTTTTAGTTCTCCCCTACTTTTTTTTGAAACATAATGATATAAATTTGAACACTTTTTTTTTTGACAGCGAAATTTGAACACTTTATAAAGTTCTGTTTACTAAATATTCATATATTTTAGTATGATTAGTATCTAATTCAATCAACTATACCTACCATTGACATTATTTTACTTTAAATCAACGGGGATGCGAGAATACGCTGTGATATGAGTTAAGATTATATGCCTTTAGAAGGGGTTTCAGAACTTAGTTGTACGAACATGAATATACTTGTTTGATTAATATAGGGTTTTTAGTAATAAAACCTCTCAACTAAAGATAAATCGTAAGAAAACCTCTCAATTATATATTTAGTAGAAAAACCCCTCAACTTTAAATATGTTCATGTAAATTCCCCACTGTCTACAGTGTCGTAAAAATTGGACGGATGAGAGTTCAAATTAAAACGTAACGTTTTTCAGAATCTCTCCTAATCGACTTTTACACCACACAAATTTCAGAGAATCTTACTATGATAAATTAGGGCTCATCAATTTAGATTTTTCACTTTGTGAATTTTGGAGCTTAGTTTGATGATTTATAATCAGATAGAAGAAGATTTTATTGTTTTTGTTTATAATTCATGTTTTTTAAGTGTATATATGTCGTTTTTCAGTTTCAATTTAACTGTCCTCCGTCTAATTTTCATGACAATAGAGACAAAAGAGAATTTTCATGAACATATTTAATGTTGAGGGGTTTTTGCACTAGATTTATAGTTGAGGGGTTTTTTTACGATTCATCTTTAGTTGAGGGATTTTATTACTAAAAACCCATTAATATATAATAGAAATGATACACCGATGCGTTTTGCAAATGAAAAAGCTAAGAGAGAAATTGAAGATAGTAATAGTTTTGAAAGAACAAAAACTATTTATATACTGGAAACAAGAAAATGTATAGCTAGTTTTGGTTTAGATTCATAGAACAGAAACATACATTGTTTTGTCACGAACGGTAACACAAAATGTATAGCTAGTTTTGGTTTATGATAATATATATATCGTAAATAAATTGCATATGCGCCACTTTTAAATGTTCTTACGTAAAGAGACGATCACAAATCTAAACGGCGAGAGTTTTCTATACATTTGAAAAATAGTAAAACTTAAATTAAAGTGGGTCAAAAAAGAAACATCCTTTAGGATTATAGTGGAGAATATGAAGAATCTCTTCGCTTTTCTTTCTCCTTTACGCATTTAATTCTTTAAAAAACATATATTGATGATACAAAGAGTCAAGATGCGAAAGGCAAAAGCCCATAACGTTATTTACTTCCCACCTGATATATTAAAAAAACATTAATAGATGATATAAACAACAACAACAAAAAAGTCGGATCATAGTGCCTTATCTTTGGGCTCCATTACATATAGATCCGTTAATCATAAAAATATTTGATTGTGATGATAATGTCTATTAGATTAGTTAGGGTAGGGATGGGTCATTTTTATTTACCTTTACCTCTCTCGCACGATTTTGCCATAAAAGAGAGAAATACGACGAGTAACGTAACTCCAGCAATTAAGCCAACTATGATTGCAAGTGTTTTCTCTATCTCATCGTCATCATTGTTACGACTCCCACCTAATTAAATCCCAAAAATAAAACATTTTTAACAATACAATTATCATAAATATTACATTCATAAAATATAAATTCTATGCAAAGAAGAAGTTGAACATAAACAAAAAACCAATCTTGAAAATAGAAACCTCTACTAATAAGAGAAGATAAAAAAACAAAAACAAAAACTTATAATTAATTAAATACTGTATAAAAAATCAAATAAAAACCTTAAGAGAAACAAAAGCAACGGAGCAAAGAAGACATTACCGTAGCCGTTGGCTCTAGAGTGTCCTCCACGCGCAGAGTAACGCGCGTAGCACTTGGCTAAGTACACGTCACCCCAAGCGGCTCCTCCACAATCCGATCTCAGCCGTCCGATCGCTTCCATCAAACAGTCTTGACACTCGGTCGCACTGAGATCTCCGGTGCACTGCGCCACACCTTGTAAATTCCCTGACACTCCTACTCTGTATGAACCACCGCTACTCGCCGCTAAATAACCCACCACCGAGTCTCTACGATTCAACTCGTCCGAGTTATAACCAACCGGTGGCCCACAACGGCGAACCACCACCGTCTTATCTTCCACGCCGAGGAACGTCGTGTTGTCGTATTTAACGAAACAGCCTTCGAGCTGCAACGCGCCACCGCACGCCATGGCGCAGAGACTCCCGAGTCTGCTAACGGCTCGCGCGACGCATCTTGCGCAATCTCCCGAGCCGGAGGATAGATCGCCGCGACACTGATACAATCCGTAGACGGAGGAGATGTCGCCGGAGATTCCGTTGACGGTGAAGTTGTTGTATGTGTAGAGAGAAGCTGAGCTAACGAATGAGGTTAGTAGCGAGTTTACGTTTGACTCGTAAGGCGATCCCGGAAAGTACTTTGCTTGTGAGCAACCACCGTAGATGAAAGTATCAACGGCGGCGGATGAAAATGTTCCGAGAAGTGACACGACGGCGATAAAGAGAACTAGTTTTGTAGCGAACATGACTTTCGACGATTGCTTTTTTTTTTCTCTCTCTGTCTCTGTGGTATGTGATTCGAGAAAGTATGAGAACGTCGCAACTTTTTTTATGCTTGGTGCGTTACTATATGATTATGAAACACTTTCATTATTTTTATCTTTTTATCATCTGTTTATCAGTTTATGGTTTACTTGGTAATGTAAATTTTTTTGTATTAAAGTACTTGGTAATGTAATCATGCGCTGATTATTTTTGTTAAGTTAATTTTACACACATGCATTCCCGATTTAGGTGATCTTTGTTATATGAACAGATTTATCAGAGATTATAACTATTATCTTTTGATCACTAGGATTATTTCAAACTATTTAAACTGTGCCAGAATGAAAAATGTGAGTATTTTATTACCAAATATCAGAGTATTTTTTTTTGCTAGAGGTCATTTTTACATTATTCATCATATTTTTTAGCAAATATTCTGTATATTTCAAATTGTTTAGGATAAAAGCACACATTTTAAGAAAATAATTAATTAATTTATTTGTTTTGTGTTTTTTTATACAAAACATGATTTAATATCTAACTAAAAATAATCTAGTTAATAAAATTTACTGCAGAATATAAATAGTCACAAAATTGAATGTATTTAATGCTTACGATAGAAACTTGTTTTTTTCTTTCTAAATCATCTTTTATTGTGAAACACTAAAACAAAACAAAATGCCTAAAACATCATAAAATATGAAACAAAAGGGAGTATCTATTATCTTTGCTAAAAAAAAAAAAGAGAGAGTATCTATTATCAAAATTAGTAGAACCAATATAATTAATTATTAATAACTTGTTACTTAATAATAGTTTACAAATTTATAAGTTATAAATTAAATAATATACAAACTCTTTTTAGTAAGAGATTAGCTTAATTAACTTTACTTAGTTAATCTCTTTAATATATGGCATAGTTTTACTTGCCAAATAAAAAGATTTTGGAGTAGTTTAATTTGTTTTCCTGTCTATTTTTCTTGATTAATTTATATTTTTCTAATATTATCTGGTTACTTCTCTTTCTCTATAAGTGGTTAATATCAGTATTTTGCAATAAATTAAAGAACTTAAAAATTATAATTGTAACACTCATTTAAATAATGGGGGAGTTGAAACATGTAACCAGTGTCCAAAAAAATTATAATTGTAAAAACTTAAAAATTACAATCTTTGCCAAATAAATAAAAGTAAATTAAAAATCTACTACTTAAAATTACGGTCCAAAAAAGATAATCAAAATTCAACTCCGATTTTAAGAAAGTACTTTAATCCATTATATAAGAGATAAGTTATAACACAATTTGATCTATATATGTTTTTTTTTCATCAATATAACTCAATTTTTACTTTGACCGTAAAACTAAAACTATGAATTGTTCAACTGTTTCCACCATTTGTACCATATTTTTGGTGTTTTCGATCCATTTTGAAACTTCTGTTGAAGGTATAAGGTCGCAATCAGCGGAAATGTTGAACAAGAACCTTAATATGGCAATGAAGGACGTCGTTTTATTTAGTTCATATGGCAATTTGTGACTTTAATTCATGTGAATCAATATAGGCCCAAATTTAAATAACGGGCCTCACCCAGCTGCTCATGCATGGCATGGCACAGCTCAAATTTTAATTCATGTTTTCATCAATTTGTTACAAATAAAAGTTATAAAATAGTTATATATCCGATGTAAATTTGTTAGAATTCAATGCAAATATGTGAACGCATATTTAAAATTACTTGTAACAAAGAAATCTTTAACGAACAGAAACACAGATATAGTATATACAAATTTATCAAATTATTTTAAGAAATTGGGATTAAAAATTGGGTACGAGAATAGAAAAATGTGAAAATTGCTTCTTTACATATGTTGTATTAGTAAAAAAAAATTAGATGCTGTTAAATAAAATAGCAATAATTAATTCTTCAAATGAACCAATAAAACGTAAGAATTGATCAAAACTCTTCAACCACTAGATTCCCACAAATAGATTAAGTTTAAGACATGGATCTTTCATATTTTTCCAAAACTAATGGTACTAAAATCAACACAGCAGACTACCAAATATTTGCTTTTTTATTGCAACCTCAAGTTTTTTTTTTTTTTTAATAAGCAAACAACCTTGCTATACTGGATAATAATAGTATATTGAGTTTGATTGATAAGGCAAAGCGGTACACAGTTTTTAGCAGTACAAAAACCGATAAACGATATAGAAAAAATTAAAAGCGGTAGTGGTAAAACCGTAAAAGTCTAAGAGATATGGGTAGAACAAACTGAAATTTCTTATTTTGTATCGTTTTTATGGTTGGTTACAACGAAAGTGGTACTGCGATAGGATTTTACCAATCAAAACCATTATTGTTATTGTTATAATTATTTAACTAGATGTTAACCCGCGGTACACCGCGGGTCTATATTTTTATTAAATAAATATTCAATATTTTTTTAAGATGATCTATAGATATATGCTGTTGTTTTGTTTGATTTAAATGTATAGTACATCGCGAAATGATATTTTATAACTAAAAATTTTAAGTTATATTTGTTTTGTTAATTTTATTTGATTGTAAATTTTTGGATTTCACCCGTACTATATTATCTCGTATTAATATCAATCCAAAACCGTCAATTTTAGGATTTCACCCGTAGTATAAAGTTTAAATATTTATAATGTTTAAACTTCTTATTAAAGAATCGAGATGCGTTTTTGAAAAAATATTAAATTTTAAGTTGTATTTGTTTTGTTTAGTATTTAATATTATAGAAAAATATTTTGATTGTTAATTTGGAAATTCAACATCATTTTGTTTTTTTTAATAATATTTTTATTTAATAATAAATAGGTATATTAATACCATTAAATCAAAGGTTTGTAATCATAATTGGAAACAAATAATGACTTAAATGCGATTTAGTAAGGTTGTAAAGAATATGCCATTTATGTAGATTGATTGTTGGGATTAGTTTCCAATTAGTTTTATTTTTGGGATTATAGTTATCCCAAATTTTAAACTAATTTAGATTTTATAGTTTTGTTTTCATAAATAAGAAAATTATTTGTTCACCCACATCAGAAAATATTACCCAAAAAAAATTACGTAATATTAAATAAAAAATTAAATAACTAACTATTTTCATTTGATGGTCTAGCCAAATTATTATTACTATTTATGTATTTTAATGACAAAAATAATTTAGAAAAATAACAAATATTAATTTTCATAACAAATCAAATTATTTTTCGTAAGAACAATTTTCCCCAAATCAATTTTTTACAAAATATTTATTGTAATCAAAATATTTATTGTTAGAAGTAGTTAAGGTAAATAACAAATATGGTTAGTTTGTAGATATCATATATAATTAGATTTAGGTGTTAATTAAAAATTAATGTCGTTTGAAAATAAAGGAACATTATATACTTAAGGTATGTGAGATGTTATTTGTATTGATTTTGGTAAAAATGGAGTTAATCAATTAGGTATGGTAAATGCTAAGTATCCGGAGATTTTGATTAATATGGAAATAGTATAAGAATAAGTAGATGAATTAAAGACAACATGACTTCATTTATCAGTTTGAAATTAAGACAACATCTCTAAAATTGCTTAATAAAGATCCGAACAGACTAAAATCAGGTCAAACCCGGATCCAAAAGAATTAAAGCAAAAAAGTACTGTAAAAATATATACGGAGATACCATCTAACTTCACGGCTAAGATGTTGGTTGGTGACAATGAATAGGTAGCTGGGAAAAGGACAAGTTACACAAAATGTGAACCAAAGATTTCCAAAAGATAAAGCCATTTTGATGATGACTCATCAACATTATTTTTATATTTTCATAATAAATTTTGAAAATGACATGTTTTCTTTATATGATTAGAGTAACTTATTCCTGCTTATATTTCTTCTAATCAATCATATCACGCCACGTATCATCTACTTGCATAATTTAAGTATCTCTCAATCACAAAACATCATGATAAAATCAAATGTCTCCATTGCAAATTCAAAGAAGAGAGAGGAAACATAAACAGAGGGAAACACAATTATACAGTTTTTGCTTGCACTCTAAGTTTATCTTCTTCCCTCTTAATCATACCTTAAGAAGTTCTTGCAGAAACATTATAAACACAAACACAAGACTTCTTAAATCACATGATGTTAATCTTCTTCCTCCAAAACCTAAAAATCTACCCATCTTTGTTTTTGTCCTCCTCTGCATCAGCTTTTCGAAATCAATTTTTCGCCGTCTCAATAACTAATTGAAACCCATCTATTTAATACCTACAGAGATCCATTAGCTCATGAACTCCCATCACAATCAGCAATCAACACATTGTTTCAATAGAGATTGAAATAGTCTTCTCTTCCTTTGGTTGATTCATTGGTGACGAAAGTCTCACAACCAAAACATCTAATGCTTCTTTCATCCACCAATCTCTACAAGCTTCTCTTGCTTCGGTTACATTCATCTGTTATCCCCAATAAATACATATCAATCAGTAAACAAATTAAAAGCTCCTAGATATGTTTCAAAAACAAAGAATAGTTATTTAGCTAGATACTGACCCAAATTCTTTGCCTAACATGTTGTTCAGGCCAAAGCTCAAGTTGTTCTGTAACAAGCATAGGGAACATTAAACCTTCATAGTATGTTCCTCTGCTTTTGCTTAAAAAATCCCATTTTCCAAGTTGATGCTGCCAAATTCAAAAGAAAAAAAAATTAAGAACAGAAAATATCAAATAGATCAAGAAATAAAACAAGATTGAACTTTAAAATACCTCAACGTTGCCAAGAACTCCAGCTTCTTCAAGACATTCTCTTGAAGCTGCTTCTTCTACAGATTCATCAAGCTCCCAACCACCCTGAAATTTGATCAAAAATCATCAAATCAAGTCTTGGGTAAACATAAAAATCCAAACTTTTTATAAGAAGATTCTTATTGTACCTTGGGGAACATCAAGGCGTGACCTTTTTGAGAAGAGATAACAAGAACTTCTACTTCATCACTGATTTTACCATCATTAGATAGCTTGAATCTGTAAGGAACACATCTGCAAATTTCCCCAAAAAAATTCCATTTTTTGAGTAAAATCTATGAGATCAGATCTATATGTATAAGAAGAAGAAGAACATACCCAACGACTTGACGACGACCTTTGTTGTATCTCTGAAACTGACGACCCGTGCGAGAAGCCAAACACACCATTTTCTCAACACCCATTTTACTTAGATAAAAGAAGGAAGAGAAGAGAAGGGTCTGATGTATAAAAGCAAAGATGAGCGTAACAGCTAAAACGGAACAGAATCTGTCGAAACGAAGAAGAACCCACGAATCTTTGGTCGGTTAAAAGATCGAAAGTTGAGTTTTTGTTTCTGCTTTAAGTGTTTATGATTCGATTCGTTACGCCTGAAACAAGATTTGAGAGAGAGAGAAGAAGAAGGAGATGAGACAAAAAGCGTTGTTTCAACCTCCAATAGCTTATCTTCTTTATATAATAAAACGGCCCCTCTTTTTTTTTTGTTTAAAAAAAATCAAATATGAATACTTGGAATTTTCTTCATTGGTCGAGAAGCTAATGTTAATTTTAAGTACCATAACATATATCTAAAAGTCTAAATTTATCTCATTTCGTAAATATAAAATACAAACTTATCCCTTCTCTATGATATCCATATTTAGTTAATTTATGTTAATATTGTTGACATATGTTTATCAAATTATCAATGATCTCATCTCAAAACCTTTATTAATGAGATCATCTCAACAGCTTTATTACAAATTTATCAAATTATTTCCCGTATAAAATGTAAAATACTATATACTCGGAAATTTAATTAAAAGTTTTTTTATTTATTCCTCAATGAATCCAAATATGATGATGCTTATTTCCATCGTATATAGTATTTTACATTTTATACGGGAAATAATTCGATAAATTTGTAAATTTCGGAACAATGTAGTTTAAAGTAGGCGCAAACAACAAGTGTTAGATATTAAATAATATGGACAAACCAACAAAACTTTGTTAATTAAAAACACTTTGTATATATTGCAAGTGTGGGGCAATTTTCTGTATCATTTAACTTAAAGACATATTAGCGTGCATCAATACACTTTAACAATATTCAATCCGTTCTTTTATAAGTGATGTTTTAAGCTTTTAATTTTTTTTTATAAATAGATGATGTTTTCAATTTTCAATGCAAAATTAATTATTTTTTATTGGTTTGACGATTTATATTATGTATTTTATTGGTTGATTAGATAGTAAATGATGTTTTAGTTTAGAAATAAATAAAAATTAAATGATTTTTTAATCTATGTGCATTTTCTTAAAATATCACTTATAAAAGAATGGAGAGACTATAGAGTATCATATACTCTATAGAATAATGCTACAAGTTGAGATACTTTTTGAATGGTCATTTATTAGTCATTTTTTCTTTTTGTTTCATTAGTTCTTACTGTAAAATTTACATGGTAGAGTGTAGATTAATAAAAGTAGCATGGATTTCAACAATAAACGCCCGGTTATACAAATTTGTATAGGTCAACAAAATTAAGAAGCAAGAGAATCAATTTAAGGCATAAAAGCGAATACATAATTCAACGTAAATAATAATTGGACGTTGTCCCTGTCAAAGTGTTTAAGGGGTTTCTCTGTCGCTTCGTGGTCTCGATTTGTAGGGTTTAATTGGTTAATAACGAGAGACATTAGCCATTAGGGTTTTACTAATTAAACACGTACAATTTATAATATTAGAAACGTAGTAAAACAACAACAAAAGTAGTCTCTATCCTTACGCGGCACGTTTATGTTGACTTTGGAAGAGACATGGTCACGTGCGTCGACGCCTCCTAACCTATGTGCTAGATCGATCAAGTGCGTGTTTGAATCGCGGTTAGTTTACGTTTGATGTATGTGCGATGTATCTACGTTTTTTTCCTTACCCGAGAGTGATGCAGTCGTTTACATATATTACAAGTAATCCGATCGTTTTATTCAATATAAAGCTGCTAATGTATAAGGCGTGGTTTGGACCAGTTTTAATCCAAGAAGATTCATAATTATATACAAACCTCATGGGTCGAATATGATTATATTAAGTTTTTGTTTGACTACGATATATAGAGTCCCATGCATGGAACATACACTACGGCACGACAAATAGGACCTACCGATGCCTTTCTTTAGCTCACTTAAACTAAAAACTAAACGAATTAACCTCATTGTGAAACTATGATATTAAAATGTCAAAACGACATTTGTTGTAAAATAGAGAGTATTTGATTAGTTCAATGATGTATGTAGTTGAAATTTATAAACATTTATAATTTTCTCATTACTTCTATTAAGTTGATAATTAATTTTGTAAGTCCAAGTGTCAAATCAGATTGTAGAAAAATACGAAAAGAAACAATCTTGAGGATTGAGTAGGTATGGTAACATAGACATATTAGCTAAATGCACCATAAAAGGTTCAATGAATTTTGCTGGATAAAAAATATTATTATAAATTAAGACTTATCGAATATGAAACCTTCCTGCAAATGTGTGATATGTATTGTTTTAATGGTTCAACCATCAGTATTTAAATTTTAGCCACCGTTTTAGAATCTTTCCTCTTTAGTCACCCAAAATGGATTTTCTTTCATCACCTCACATGAAACTTAACGCATAATGACCTACATCATGGTTCTTGTGTTCTAATAATAATTTAAAAGAAAATATATCCAAATTTGTAACATTTGACAAAGCTTCAATCATATTTATTAAGCTTATTAATCATTTATATGACAATTTGAACGATTTAATATTATTTTGATTGTTGCTATATATCTAGATAAGTTTGAACAATAATTTATTCTTTTTTCGCAAGCAGGTTAAATATAGGACAGACGATTCGCATGCATATTATCAAATTATGTTACTACAATAGGCAAGTAGATCAAGAGTCCCATGGTGATGGATAACTAAAAGTGTTATACTATTCAAAAGCTTAAAGCTATGCGAAAATTCTAATATGCCAATCCAAAACAGACGCCGAAATATTTTGTTACCGATTAAATTGTGTTGTCTACAAAATATGAAAAACATAATCAAATTCGAAGCTACTTCTGGATAAACTGTGACCACCATAAATGGAATAAGCAATGGAATATAATTGGTCAGACATAGAGAATTAGAGATACCGCCGCACAATATGTTTCTCTCAGCCACAAAGACATTAAGACACTCGCTATACAAATTACATGGACAGGAAAGAGTCTTAATAATCATTAATCAATGATCATTTGATGTTTTTTTTTTTAAGATTAATATTCATTCTCATTTTTTTATTGCCCTAATATATTTGGATTCCATGCGACTTTATTACAAACACATTTGTTTGTTAGAATATATAGCAAAATATAATTGAATTATTATTTTTGGCTGAAATTATGGATATGAAATAATTTCCGAAAAACTAGGAAATGGACACGACCACGAGGGCAGCATGGGATATCGGGATTATAGATCAATAAATGGCATTCTATTTTTTATATTTTTTTTAGTTTAAAAAAAAAATAGATTTGAATAATCTATGTTTTCGCACCGAATTAAAAGATCCATTGTTCAATTTGTTTTGCAATGAGTAATAAACTAAACCAGCACAATTTACCAATATAGCACAAGCAGATTAACTAACTAGAAATTAGTTATTTCTCATCTGTTTTTGACACACTTTAATTAAAAAAAAACATCATTTTGTTTATATGCAACAAACAATATAAGTATAGATGTATATATAAAAATCCATTTAAAACTTTACATGGAAATTAATAAAAATATCTAACCGTACAAAGCAATAATAAAATTTGGAACATCGATGTAAATGAAATAAGCATAATTCATATACATATTATATTTGGATTCGGGTTGTAAATTAGGTGTTATTTTCTTGAATTGTTAATGACTTCTTTTATTCTTCTTCTAGAAATACAGTATTATTTACAGTCTCTAGAAAACTAACGATCAATTAAAGACTTTAATTTGCCCGTTAAAGTTTTCTTCTAGATTTCACATTGAAATTAATTTGGAATACTTTCTACGATTCCATGCATCTAAAATTATAACCATAATAGTATCGAGAAGAAGGAAAAGCGACTTTCTAGAATTTGATTTGAATTTTAGTTGTTTCATGCACAAAAATCCATTTTAATTAAATGTTGAGTAGTAGACTCAGAGAAGGAAGGAAATCTTCGTAAATGTATGAGAAATATATTATTTTTACTCACAAAACCTAAACCTAACCCTTCTCCTTCTCACATATATTATGTACTATTATGAATAAAACAAAATCTGAAAACGGCGTTGAATATTGTAATGTCTATACTTAAACTGCTAAATAAACGCATGACATGGAAAATCGTAGAAAATTAGTTACATGAGTTTAAAATTTATTTTAAAATAACCATTTCTTTCGGTTGGTCGAACTTTTGCATCGACCTTTAACCTTTTACTGGATTTATTTTCTTAACCACTACAAAGTTTATGCATCGATCAGTTGTAAATTTGGGACCTTAGTTTGAATTTCGGTTTTTTTTTTATTAGCTATTAAAATGTTAAACTAAAATATATTGGTGAGATATATTAATTAATAGTATGCCTGAATGCTTTAACGTTTCTAGTACCTGAAGAAAAAGAAAGAAGATGTCGGCATCAGAGGAAGACCGGAGCAAGTCTTGAGAGTTGAAATGGTCGGACACCACATGCTCTCTTTCCCTCTCTAATAATACATTTGTTATCAACTCTCTCTTTATAATTTGTCTTTTTTTTTTTGCTTTCATTTATGACTACTTGACAAATTATGATTGTTATGAAAACTCAATATATATAGTTTTATGTATTTTTAATACAAGTAGGTTTGTCTTAAAGGGGTTAAAATAATATTATTTCATTTTCTTCTAATATTTTATTAAAAAGTCTACGTTTTAGTGTAAATTTAAGGATTTATTTTTTGAAATTAAAAATATATATTTTGAAGAACTAAAAGGTTCTGAACCTGGATTCGTACATATTTCTCCATAAACCAAAACATTTAATAGAGCTTTTTTCCAAATACCATTTGAATTATCGATTTCTAAGTTTTACCTTAGATATCATCAGTTAACTATTGACGCTTGGGAATATTCCAAAGCAAGTTATTCCATAATACTCCTGGGTCCATGCAGAAGAGATAGTTTTCTTACAATTTAGAACGTCTATACTGCTAACTATGATTCAAACCAACAATTGTGGTCCAAAACAAAATTGTACAATGCTACCGAGTTTCTTTTTATTAAAAAAACATGATGAGTTCTATATACCCAAAACAAATTAGTGTGAAAATAGTTTGATTCTGATGAGGATATATTGAAGTATATGTAAACAAATGAAACTGTTGAAGATAATAAATCATGGTTATGGATTCTAG